AAACTTAAAGAAAACTACGAGTAACTATGGTTATGCTACTACTATTTTACTAACGATATTTTGATTAATATACAAGCTATCTTTAATTTACATATACTAGTTCTATGTCACCTACTATAAAAATGACTTATTTAGTTTTGTTTTTAACTAACTACTCATTTTTTCATTGCAATGACTATCATGTAGAAAAAGGAAGCCATACCCGAAAAAAATACAAAAATGCCAAGCGCTAAAATAACTATAGCCTGGAGAAGGTCTATTTTACAACCGTAACCAAGATACACCCGACACATGGAACCCTCGATAGTCAATTCAAATGTAAACATTGCCATCTTTACTTAAAATTTCTATACTATAAGGAATTGATGAGCGATTGCTCAATAAGTTAACCTATGCATGACATGAATATATGCACGTGAAATGCACATAGAAATCATTTTCATGTCTTTTCTAAAATCTTTCTTATTATCATTTTGAAATCCTTTTTCATGCTTGGACGTGTTTGGTCAAGTATCTAAAGGCACACGTTTGTACCTTCTCGACCATTATCAAGCATCCGAAGGCATCAATCGGTACTCGCTCGATGCTCGAGCATCTAAAGGCACTCGTTTGTACTCTCTTGAACTTATCGAGCATTAAAGGTATACGTTTACACCCCCTCTACCCATAAAACTCATGAAATCCATGTACCATGTAAATCATAAAAGTCATGAAATATCACATGAACCATAGAATATTTTCCAAATACTTTTGGAAAATTATAAAGAAAATCTTTTCATGAATTTTTAAATTCTTTTCCATGAATTAGCATGTTAATGCATTTAATGTAAATGCATTATACTTATGCATTATGCCTTACATGGAAAATGAAATTCCATAAATGAGATACCTATCTTAAATACCATAATTGCATTATGACATTCCTACCTTGCATTGCCATTCCAATTCATCCCAAACAATGGAACAATTAACTTAAGCATCACATAATCATACATTAGCAACATCCTTTAAGGCTAAGGATTGCACTTCCAATCATCCAATTCACACATAAAAATGACATATTCACATTCAATGGCAACACATGAACCAATTTGCAACCAAGTCATCTAAATAAGTCCTAAACCCTAAATTCCTTAATGTTAGTCGAATTTACCCTTAGCTTAGGCTAGGTAATTTCTTCCAATTTCAATGCTAATTTCTCATGTTAAATCATTAAAATACATTTTAATGTCAAGAATTTACCAATTAAGTATTCCTAAGCCAATAACATGCGTAACCCTAAATTGGGCCTAATGGGCCGAAACTCTACTTAGAGTAACTAGATTAATTTTTCAACTTCAATAAAATTTCTTATTCTCATTCATCAGTTTATGCTTAATTAACTACTAATCAACTAATAATTCATTAAATAAACAAATAAATTAATACCTTAATTTTTTTAAATTTTAGATTTGAATGTACCCTTAAAATAACTAAGGGAAAATTCTCAATTCTAATGTAATTTTTTATGCTTAATCATCAATTCATGCTTAACTAACACATAATCAAGTGATAGTTCATCAAACAAATCAAAAAATCAAAAACCTTAAAATTCTCATTTTGGGCCGAATGTTCCTCAAGATTTAACTTAAGAAATTCTTGTTTCTAACACCTAATTTCATGCTCAATTAGCATCTTCTTACTTTAATTGCATGAATTTCTAAGTTAAAATCATTTTCCTCAAATTTTTCTCACCAAGAACCCTAACCCTAATTTTTAAAATTACTTCAATTAAAAATCAATTAAGGGTTCTAAGATCACAATTAACATTCAACAACACTTCCTTGTGGTGTATGTGAGATTAACTTACCTAGATAGCTCTAATTAAACCTTAAAAAGTTGAACTATCTTGGAATTTCTTCCTCTCTTTTTGTCCTCTAAGTTTCGGCCCAATCTTCCAATTTTTCTCCGTAGAATTTTTGATCTTTGAACTTAAATTATAAGCATGATTAGGTGTTTTAGGTAGTTAAAAGTGTTTAGTTGGAAGTGTGAGTGGAAATTCTATGGGAATTTTGCAAGAGTTTCTCCTAATTTTTTCAATTTTCCAACTATTTTTTCATTTCTCTACCACCCATATTTATAGGTAGAATTAGTTCGACTTTTTCCTTGGTTGACTCCATCTCCACCCTTCATTTGGTTTGATTTTGGCCCTTATCTTTCTTTTAATCTCATCACTTCACTTGGTTTAATCTCTAACCATTCACTTCATTTGCCGACCAAGAATCAAAGAGTCAAAACTAACCAATTTTGTCTTTGATGAAGACGATAAACAATACTTCAAAATTGGTTTTGGGTTGCAACGAACAACAAGTCGTTCGATTAGTTTTGATCCTGTCATTCACTCTCTAATTTCAACTAGGTCCTTGGATGCTTTAATTCACCGTAATTACACCCTTGATTTTCATTTCAATTGCATCCCTATGGGCTTTCAATTTCAATTCTAATTTCATTCAATTGCACCCCAATTTTATTCAATTTCATCCCTAATTGCTTTCAATTTCCAATCCAATTGTTTTCAATTTCAGTCCTTATTTCCTTCAATTATATCCCTAATTAATCATTTCATGCAATATTTTTTGTGATTTTTCTATGTTTAAATTTTTGTATTTTCATTCCCCCCCTTTTTAAAAAAAAATTGATTATGTAAACTCGTTTTTATTTTCTCTTTTCCTTTTTTTATTTAATAAAAGATGATACTTAAAATTAAACATAAAGCTAATAATGGTAAAAATAGATCCAAATAAACATGACAATAAAACAAAAGAAAAAGAAAAATAACTAAATAAACAAAACGAAAAATATTTAAAAATAATATAACTTAGATTTTGAATTATGACATTCATTTACATTCTTGATTCACTTCATTCATTTTAACAAAATAGCAACAAAAAAAAAATAAAAAAAATAAAACTTTTATTTTTATTTCAATCTTTTTATTTTTAATAACTAAACAACATCTAAGGAGACTAACGCTTTGTCCGAGGACACAGTGGAGGAAAGAAAATGAGGAAAAACAAACGAGATGAAAGGAAAGTAATTTTCTCTCATGTTGTTTGGAACTTGGGAGGTGAAAAGGAATCGAAAACAAAAGCAATAACAACTACACTTTTTTTTTTTTTTTTGAAACAATAAAAAATACAAATCTTGAAGAATAAAATTACTAATATGTGCATTTAGTTTAAACTAATAAATAGTTTTTATTGACGATAAAATTATAATTTTGCAAGTGAAGAAATTCATGTTTTATTTTCCTTCTATTTTCCACTTTTTTTCAAACATAAGTCTAAGAAAATAATTTTCTCATCGATCCCCAAAGTATGAATTATCTGTTTAATTTCTAATTAGTTTCGGCATGTGAAACTTGGTCCTACCATGACTGCTATTTATCGAGAGTCAAGCCCGTGACATGATTTGCATCCTTCATGGTACTCTGCCGTTGGCCCCTCACCATGATTATGACTTTATAGCAATGGCACGAGGCTAAGGGCCGGTACCGCAAGCCACGGTCACCGACACTACCGTGACCAAAATGTTTTCGTTAATCCTTCATTAGATCCCACCTTGAATATTGGAAAATCCAATTTGATTAAGTTGATTTAATTTCATCCAGTCAATCATGTTCCAAAGTTGTTGGCCTTTATTATGACGAATCATTCAACCCTCATCTCTAAAACGTGCTAACAATTCTATCATTATGAAAATAGTTCAATTTTTATTGTTTCTAATTTATCCTTATTTTTCAGTTTATTAGATATTCTATTATAGAAAATGACGTAAATACCCTTCTATGGGAAATTGAAATCCGACCTAATTTATAATTTTTATTTTTATTTTTTATTTTTACAAAAAAACAATAGTGCAGATTCAAATGGTGCTTTATTTTTGTTTTTTTCATGTAAGGTTTTGCTTGACCGTAACCAGCATTAACTATGGATTATGCAGAGAAATATCCAGATCATAAATAGTGGGATTGTACCAATAATTCTCCATTTGCATCCACATAAACTTTTAATGGGAATCTGGCACAATAAAATAACAGTATTATGTGTGCCATGCTTTGCTTTAAAAAAGTAACCAGCAGAATTCAAATTTTCATTTTCATACATAAATGCCATTGAATTTTGGGGCCACATGTATAATCGGAGAAATTATTTGAATTCGAAGAGACTTTCCGTCTCTTCTTTAGGCTTGTTTTTTTTTTTTTTTTAAGAAAATGTTTGGTGACATAATGATGACAGACACATAATGGGGTAACATCTCATAACGCACAATCAAATTTGCAATTCAGTGCACAGTTAATTTATTCAGCCACTTATGCCATGTAAAATTGAGTTGCTTTTGCCCAAATATCTAAGCTGCCATTAAAAGATCCTTATAACAAATGAATGTCAAACACTTTACTGGGATGAAACTTAATTCATGGGCTTTTCAGAGCACAAAATTAACCAACCTGATCCATTTGCATCATCTGTAGCTAGCATTCACCCATCAAGAAAGCAGAGACATAAATGCATTCTTGATGCTCATAATTGACAAAACAAGACGGTTGTTCAGGGCATTTACAGCTAAACACTGCATAAGTCCGGATTCTGAAAGACCAAGGCAGTTATACAGGCACGGTCAACCCTTGAGAACCATTTCACCTACCAGTGGACCATTGCAATTAGTGCTAAATGACGAATTAAGACCCATTTTATCGTCTTCTTACCGATTAGTGATTGCTTCTTGTTTTCAACCTTGCTATCTGTCAAGCATAGGTGGATATATTTGTTAGCTTTAAATATGAATTACTGTTCTGCTGAGAAACTAATTCTAGAGGCTTTAAATGCTAGTACTTCGCTGATAATTTTTGGTTGTCGGCGGACTGCAAGTTGTTGGTCGCGGATTTCAGGTCCATATAACTAGTGATATTTGGGCTGTCCATGACAAACACATCTAGCTAATAGTGCCAAGGAGCAACCATGACAGCAAAAACCTTGGTATTTCTGATCCTGGCAACCTGTTCACTCTTCACATTAGCTTTAGGCAGCCAAACATACCAAGGGAAATGGAAGTTATTGAAGAAAAACATTGGAGTTTCAGCAATGCACATGCAATTGTTACCAAATGATAAAATCATCGCATTTGACTGGAAAAGTTCCGGTCCATCCAACATTTCTCTGCCAGAGGGAAAGTGCATTGTTGATTCAGAAACTACGACTGATTGCTATTCACATTCAGTAGAGTTTGATCCCACCAGCAGGAGTATCCGACCACTTACCATTAAAACCGACACATGGTGCTCTTCAGGTGCGTTGTTGTCGAACGGTGTTCTAATTCAGAGTGGTGGATATAGGCTTGGAGAACGAGTTATTCGGTCCTTTAGGGCGTGTGCAAGTTGTGATTGGGTTGAACATTCAAATGGCCTAATTACTCCAAGATGGTATGCATCAAATCAAGTTTTACCAAATGGGAAAATCATTGTTGTTGGCGGGGTAAATCAATTCAATTATGAGTTCATTCCGAAAACTTCTACTTCTGATCGAACATTGTATCAGCTTCCATTTCTTAAAGAAACCAGATATTCCCCATTGATTCCCAACAATCTTTATCCTTTCCTACACCTCACTCCTGACGGCAATTTGTTCATTTTCGCCAACGACCGCGCAATTCTACTAGACTACGTCAACAACAAGGTAGTTAAAAACTATCCTGTCATGCCTGGAGGTGTTTCGCGCAACTATCCTAGTACAGGTTCCTCAGTTCTACTTCCACTTATCCTTTCCAGAAATTTCAACGTCAACCCAAAGGCTGAAGTTTTTATCTGTGGTGGGACAGTACCAGACTCAAACCGAAAGGCAAATGCAGGAGACTTTATTCCTGCTTCCAAATCCTGCGGTCGACTAGTAATAACTGCCAAGAATCCAAGGTGGGAAATGGAAGAAATGCCTCTCAACAGATTGATGGGTGACATGATATTATTGCCTACAGGTGATGTGCTTATCATTAATGGTGCTGCGAAAGGATCAGCTGGGTGGAATTTAGGTAGAGAACCAGTTCTAAACCCGGTTCTTTACCGGCCTGATGCACCTTTTAGTGCTAAAATTAGCAGGTTTGAGTTGCTGAGTCCCTCTCAAATCCCACGTGTTTATCATTCAACAGCCCATTTGCTATCAGATGGTCGTGTTTTGGTGGGTGGCAGCAATCCAAATAGTAACTACAACTTCACTGCACTTTATCCAACTGAATTAAGTCTTGAAGCATTTTATCCACCCTATTTTAGCTCGAATGTTCCCAGGCCATTAATTAGCAAGATAAATCCAGGGACCAATCTTAAATACAAGCAGAAAGTTTCCATGCATTTTCACTTAGATCAGCGACAAAAAGAGCTTGGAAAGATTTATGTGACAATGGTGGCACCATCTTTTACTACACATTCCTATTCCATGAATCAAATGTTGCTGGTTTTGGCTTTGGACAGTGAAGCCCAAAAGGTGGATTCCAGCAACTATGTTGTTGATGTCCATGCACCGGCAACTGCAAGATTGGCGCCTTCAGGATATTACCAATTATTTGTCGTCCATGAAGGTGTTCCTAGTAAGGGAACATGGGTCCATATCGAGTAGGAGTTGTAGTAGTTGTGTATCTTGAATTGGGAATTTATGATGGCATGGTGGCCTTAAAGAAAAGAATGGAAAATTTATTAGTCTTGTTGAATTTGTTCTGGAGAAGTTACTTTGACCATTTGAATTATGGCATTCCTTTCATATGATGTAACTATCTTTTTTCTTTCTTTCTTTCATTTTTTTTTTTTTGGGTACAAAGGGATAAAAGAAGAAAGGCTAACTCCTTAAAAAGCACGTGCTAGCAGCATCACCATTCAGAGCATGTAAAACCTGTGAAATAGGGTGATTCCAGAGCATAGCAAATTCACCAGGAGGCAGCAGGCAGTTATAACCTTTTGGTCCCATTATGAAGTTGTGCTGATGTCATAATGATGTGTCTCACAGGTATGTATTGGTAACCTTTTGGTCCCATTATTGAAGTGGTGGTCACTAGTATTTCAACACATACTTTTTTTAATTCATTAAAAGATTGAATTTGTTTTTATTTCATAGAAGTAATTGTTGGAAATTACCTATCATACACGCCCAAAGAAGAGAAGTTAATCGGTTTTATGGGATATCTTATGAGCCATTCGACCATCCCTATGAGTAAAAAAAAAACAAAAAAGTGGATACTCTCACCTTTACGTGACACGTGCTTGTGTTAGACTTCCATTTCAGGATCCACTAGTAATAATTTTTTTTGGGTGCTTTTATTGGATAAATGGTTAAATCTATATTTGTAAAATAGTTTGAGTTTCTAATCTGCATTTATATTTTTAACTACATTCATTATTCTTTTCAATAACATTTAAATTTCTAATTTATTTTTTTGATCAATTTTTTTAGCCAGGAACAATTTTTTTTTAACTAAAATACTACTAATTAAAATGAAAAAATAGAAATAAAAATTTTAAAGATTTTATAAATAGAACATGTATGTCATATAATTTTAAGTGTTTTTTTATTTCTAACATCTCAATTAGGGATATTTCAATAAAAAAATTGCCTATAGTTAAAAAAATTAATGGAAAAAAAATTAAAAACTTAAACATTATTCAAAAATATAATTAAAAATATAAAAATAGAATACTGGGCCATTATATTTTAGAATCAGCTATTTAGCCGGATTGTATTTTACACTTAAGCTTTGCGAGCCATTAGTCGATTTATTGTATTTGTGCACCTACTAAGAAAGCCCATTCCTTACGTGGGCTTTTGTGGCCTAATAACTTGTAAATTTATTCCCTTCATTTCTTTTGCTTTAGGACCCCTTTGTATTGTATTTGGGCTCCTACTGCATGTTGCCACATGGTTGATTTGGGGCCTTTATAGCCCAATTTCTTACAACTTCATTTCCTTGTTTTGATGTTTTTATGAACACCCTTCTTTTTTTTTTTTTTTCCTATAGAAAGCCCCAACATTAATGATGTTAGTTAGTGATAACCATATTTTTCAAATATATATTTTATTAGAATATTTATTTGAGTTCATAAATTTTAATTTTTTGTATTTAAGCTCTTATACATTTAAGATTGAAAATATTGTCACATTAGTGACATAACGGTAATTTTAGAAAAAATAAATTTTCACAAAAACTCAAAAAAAGAATATAATCAAAGAGAAGAAATCAAAATAAAATTTTTTCTTAAAATACAAATAATTAATTTATAATAATTTCTATTAGTTATTTTGGGAATTGTAAATTAAAACCTATACATACATACATACATATAAACCTATTTATATATCATCTTTGTATAGGTTTAATTGTCATTGCTTGATTGTTTAATTATAGCAATCGCCATGACCGTATCTCGCATTTTACACGATGTCCTACTGTTTGTGATTAAACATCAAAATTGCTTATTGGAGGGATTAATGATCGGTTAATTGTCTCAATCCCGCCTTAAAGTATATGGTAAAAGTAGGTAATGATGATCATAGGTTTTATCCTATGAAAATTGCGGCCCAAAAACATGATTTTAAGCAAATGAATCTCCCATCGTTTTCCTTCTCTCTTACAATTTTCAATAGATTCTTGTTTTTTTTTTTATACACCGATCTTGTGCTGATTTTAGACTCAATCGAATATATATATATATATATATATATATATATATATATATATATTGACTGAATCTACTCTTTCAAGAATTAAGAAATCAAAACTCAAATCTCCACAAAGATTATGAAATTGAATTCAACTAATCATAATGCAAGACTAGCTGAATCTTTCACGCTAAAATTAATGAAGCTTGAAAATTTCAGGCTTTAGATTTGAATAAGTCAAAACTTACTGATTAATAAAATAAGCATTAACTTAAGATAGTGCACATAAACTCTAAATAAAAACACAATGATACTTCTTCAGTACTTTATTATTCAATAAAAAATGTTTCTTTACATGGTATAAATAATTTAAATATAGACTAAAAAAATTAGCGTAGAATAAAGAAAACTTATCCAAAACGAGCTGTAAAAAATTTAACCTAATCCCACTAGAAACCTAAGTTCCAAATAAATAAAGATAACAAGTCCAATCCAAATTTACTAAGGACTAATTAATCATGTTCAAATTAAATATGGACTCCTAAAATTATATCGTTATAAAAATAAAATAATGTTATAAAAAAATAGAAATAATAGGAGAATTGAAGATAAAAATGATGAAGAAATGATTTCACTACAAAGAGAAATAAGAGATAACAACTCTAAATAATTCTTACAATCTCTACAAAATGCTTGTACACCAACTAATGAACAATCAAGCATATTTATAGGCTTCAAATTTGAGGAGAGAATTGAAAGAGACTATGAATAATCAATTACATCACCTTTTCAATATCTCATATTGAATGATGAATTAAATCATATTAAGAATCATGAGTAGTAGAGATATGAAAAGTAGATGAACATGATGATGGACATTCATTATTTCATGATACTCCCCTTTGAATGGTCGAACATGCCTCGCTAAAACCTTATTAGGAAAAAACCCGATGGGAAAAAATCTTAGTGAAGGAAAAAGAGTAAAATATTCCTTGTACACATTAATCTCAATGTTGGCCTCCCACTATTGAAAACGTTATTTGAGATCTCTAAGACGATGCATTTCAATCTTGCGGATCATCTTCTCAAAAGTTATGTTAAGTAATGCTTTAGCGAATAAATCTGCTGAATTATCACTTTGATGTATTCTTCCTTTAATGAAATTATGCAAACAACGGTATCCTCATATGATATTGTTAGAACTTTTTTGTTGATAGATAAACCGCATGTCTCTCGGATATGATGGATTGTTGATCTTAGCCAAATACATTCTCGACTTGCCTCGTGAATTGATATTCCGCATGATTTGAAGATGTGACAACTATAGTTTGCTTCATAGAATGCCAAAATATAATGGTATCTTCATAAGTAAATATATAACCAGTTATGATTGAGCTTTGTATGGATCGGATAAATAACATGTATCCGCATAACTAATTAATCTTGTTTTTGATTTATTGGAGTAATATAAGCTATATCAATTATTCCTCGAAGATAATGTAGTATATGTTTAATTCCATTTCAATGTTTTCGTGTTGAAGCGTAACTATATCTTGTTGAATATTATTAGCAAGATATATCAATGCACTAGTGGCACTAAGATATGACACTTCATGACCAAGTAGTTCTTTTTTATCTTCTCGAGGTCGAAAATGGTCTTTTTGGATATCAAGTGAACGAATTACCATTGAGCTAGTCAATGAATGATCTTTATATAGAATCATTGTAGAACTTTTTCTATATAAATTGACCGATGAATAAAAATCTCTTTCTTTAAGTGCTCGAACCGTAGGTCGAGATAACATTTTTTTTCCAATGTATTCATATCAAATTCTCTTTTTAGATAACTTATAACACTTAGAATCTCTTCGAGTAGTTCCAATAATATTTAAGTTATCAACATATACAACAAATCTCTTTTCAAATAAAAATATATGAACAAATAGGATTTTTTTATAACGTTCTTTCAATAATCATTGAAGTGATTATATCACATGCACATAGGTTAGTAATTAATAGTAGATATAAAAAAATATATAAAATATAGTAGAAATTGAATTTCTAAAAACTAAAATAATAAAACAAATGCTAAAATAATCCTAATAGAGATCTCTATAATTTAATTCAATTCTTTTCTCGAGAATATGTATTACATACTTCGGCATGTTAAGTCCTTTTAGGACTTTCATACCGATATCATTTCAAATGAACAAATAAACCGTGATCACATTCATTAAATGCATGCATATGAATTTTTTTTTTATATTTTACCAAACTAATGAGATAACAAAATATAATTGCATCCATTATAAGAGAATATGTCTCCTCATAGTGAATGTCGGTTCTTTACGAAAACTCTTATGTTAAGAGTTTTGCTTTACATCTTACAATCTCATTTTTATTATTTCGTTTTCGCGTAAATACATATTTATGTCCCACTAGCTTAACATCTTCAGGTGCTTTAGCTATGGGTTCAAAAAATTACTCTTTTGCAAGAAAACATAATTCTCGCTCGGATTGCTCTTTTCATTTAAATCAATTATCTTAATGTCGACATTCTTCAATAAATTTTAGCTCAAGATCCTTATTTTCATTCAAAATATCAATTAAAACATTATATACTAAAAATATTTCTTTTTGGTCCTTATTTTCTCCCTATATTAACATAATTTATCAAAATATCTTGATTTTTCTCAAGCATTTGAACTTCTTCCGGAAGCATATTATCGAAATATCTTGAATCATTTTATGAATATTTTCATCTTGCCCTTTTCTTCGAGAGATTTTATCTTTAGAACCGATCGGTCTTCCATGCTTCGGGCGTGCTTTAGATTCATTAGCTATAATATTAATAGACTATCCTTCTAGGACATCAATTCTAATAGGAGCATTCTCGGTGGGGACATGCATTATAGTTACTCATTTAGGATCCGAGAATGCATCTAGCAGTTGGTTTGTAAAACCTTATA